GCCTCGCGGGCGACGCGGTGGATCCCGAGCTGCTCGCCGCCTTCAACGCCGCGCGTGCAGGTCCCTTCGGCAAGCCCGACGCGTACGATGCGGAGGAGGTGGCGAACTTTGTGCGGGCGGACCTGCGGCGGCTGGAGGAGCAGTGCCTGAGCGTCATCAACCGCTGCAACGTGCCGGTGCCGGGCGCCATGAACCTGTACGACCCGCACGTGTCGTGGCCACACGTGGAGAAGTTAGAGCCGTGGGTGCGCATGGCGGAGTTCTGGACATCCTCCTCCGACACCTCTTTCACCGAGCTGGAGATGTCTACGGCGCACTATGAATTTAGGAAACATTTTCGCGTGGTTGTGTGTAAACTTCCGTTTCAGAGCACAGAGTTTGAGAAGCGCATGTACGACATTCGGCATTGGCTGCACCGGCAGACTACCTGTGAGTTTCACACCATCTACAGGAAGAACGTGGTTCACGACGCTGCGGTGTTCCCCACCGAGCATGACCCCGCCACACCAACGACGCACGAGCACCACCGCATGTTCTCCTTCGCCTTGGACTGGCAGAGCGCACCGGTGAATCGGCTCAGTGTGGATACGGTGGCTGCGGGTGAGGACTGGGACGCGGTGGCGCAGCGGCTGGGCTGCAGTGTGGAGGATCTTAAGCGCGCCAACCCGGCGGTGGAGGTGCTCGAGGCGGGCGGCGTCGTGAACGTTCCGGCGTCTGCCACTCGCCGGCTGACAAGCTTCGGCGCGGCCCCACGCGTGCTTCCACTGCAGTCCGCGGCGGGTGGGGACCCTATTCGCACGTGGGAGGAGGCTGCAGCCGTTCTTGACTGCACAGTGGAGGAGCTGCAGCAGGTCAACGGCCACGCCGCACTCACCTATAATCAAAAAGAAAATGGCGAGGGGGAGTTTGGACCCTCCGTTACAGAGCTGAACGTTCCGCTCTCCTGCTGGGCGTCGACGCCTGAGGCGGAGTTCAGCGCGATGGAGCTCGTGTACGCGAGTGATACTCTCGCCACCATCGCCGCGCGTCTCCAGTGCAGCGAGGCGGCGCTGCAGAAGGCAAACAACGGCGTCACGGACGTGTCAGGCCTGCGCGCTGTGCGGGTGCCCGCGGAGGCGAAGGCACCACGGC